GGTGTAGACCAGGCTGGTCTCAAAATCCCAGGGAGCTGCCTGCCTGTGGCTCCCAAGTGCTGGGACTAAAGACAGGCCACCATGCCCAGCATTTGGCAACAATTTAGCTTAGAATTTTTCCAGGACGTTGAACTTGGCTTATTTTTCATTTTCTGAGCCTCTTTTTTGTGTGTGATGTATTTGTGTGTCAATTTACTACCCCATCAAGTAGTATAGTTATAGTAATAAGCTCAGTGACCTGGAAATAGGTTTTAAAAGTAATAAAAGTCACTCGCAGATTAGCCGCCCAGCTGGTGAGGACAGTAAAGTAGTCCAGTCACTGACAGAGTGTCAGCTGTCTGCCTACTGCAAACACCCCTGTTAAAAGACGAAACGGAAGGGATAGCGACAGAGGCTAAAGTTCCAGGTGGGTAGTTTAGCAGAGGAGGAGAAAGGTGAGGGGTTCTACTGCAGCCATGTGGCATGGTTTGGGTAGTTTCTATATGCCAAGCACCCCCTCTGCACCTTCTGTACACCATCTCTGTTAGCCTCCAGTGACTTAGGGAACAGCCGAGGACCCTGAACCAAGGAAACCAAGGTCACCACCCAAAGATAATACAGCTAGTCCAGCTGAGAGGGAAGGATGTGACTACTCCTGACCTAGGGGACCTGCGCTGCCAGTAACTGAGGAGTGCCTCTGCCTTTCATCAATGCCTCTTTTCTCTTGCAGCAGTCAGGGAAACCGTCCTCTTCTGCAAAATGTACAGAACCAAAGTGGGTTTGAAGGACCGCCAGCAGCTCTACAAGCTGATCATTAGCCAGCTGCTCTATGACGGTTATATCAGCATTGCCAATGGCCTCATCAATGAAATCAAGCCCCAGTCGGTGTGCGCACCCTCGGAGCAGCTCCTGCATCTCATCAAACTAGGTAAGCTAGGAATGTGGATTCATAGATCCCAGAATGGCATCGTAGATGTCTGCCCGGGGCAGTGTTTGAAGTTATTTCTGTGTAGTTTCAGTGTCCAATGTGTGCTGAGTCCAGTGATGGGTACTGAAGGGGTAAGTGAAGTCCAGGTGAGGAAGCTGGTTGTGATGTGTTTTATTTCTATGAATCATCTGGACATTCCCCTCAAGTCTCGCTCAGGTCTCATGGCAGGTAGCTCCACTCACCCCTTTAAAGATATTTCTTCTGTCTTCCCCATGCTCCTTTGCTCAGTTGCTGCCAGAGTGATCCATTTCCCTCATAACATACTTTCTGAAAGTTGCTTTGTTCTTTGAATCATTTCCACACATTGTTAGCCTTCCCACCAGAATCTCTGCAGATACCAGGACCTTGTGTTGGTCATTGGTAGATATATCCTGGCACCTGCCTTACCCTCAATAGGGTTTTGAAACACCTAGCTGTGTCCACATGTCATCCCCAACATTTGTGGGAAGTTTGTTTTGTTTAAGGTTGCTTTCAATCAGCAGGTGGTCTCCACAGCTCACACACACACACCATTATTCTGGGTCAGGATGGAAGCGTACATAATGGAGAGATTTGGTATGTTCACAAAAAAGATTTCCCTTGACTTGAGAATGCCACTTGTAAAACTGTCCTGAGGAGGGAAATGGTAAATTAAAATGTTGCACAAAGAGAAACTTTAAATATTTTTAACTTTAAATCTAAGATTTTAATTCTAGATAGCCATAAAAGTGTATAATGTTGAAGCAATATAATGTTAAAGACTTGTTCTGATAAATTTTATTTTAAGTGTTTAAATGATCAAGCAAGTTCCAAGTTACAGTACAGGCCTATGTTTGTTTTGAAAAGCAAGAGTTGTATGCATGGGAAGAGACTACAAGAGTTCTTCATGTGTTTTGATTCCTCCTGTACCAGTTCCAGTTATTGTTTATGCGATATATGAGGTTATTTTTGTATCCAACACTTTGTTAAGGGTCTTTTTGAGGGGTGATTATTAATATTACTATTACTGTTTTACTAGTTTGAGTGTTTGGCCTGCATGTATGTCTGTGTACTATATGTATGCAGTGCCCCTGGAGGCCAAAAGAGGGGATCAGATTCCCTGGAACAAGAGTTGCAGGTGGTTGTGAGCTGCAGGTGGTTGTGAGCTGCTGAGAATTTGACCAGATCTTTGGAAGAGCAACCAGTGCTCTTAACAGTTGAGCCATCTCTCCAACCTCTGTGTTTTATTTTGGTTTTATTTTTTCTTTAGATTTACTTTTTGTTTTATGTGTATGAGTGTTTTGCCTGCATGTATGTGCATGTTCCACATGAGTGCCTGGTTCCCACAGAGGCCAAAAAAGGTCATCCAGTCTCCTGAAACTGGAATCGTACATGATTGTGAGTTACCATGTGGATGATGGGAACTGAACCTGAGGATAGGTACTTTTAACCCCTGAGCCATCTTTCCAGCCTCCTTGTTTTCTTTTGAAGACCAGGTTTCATTATGTACCCCTGGCTAGCCTGGAACTTATTCTGTAGACCAGACAGGCCTCAGCTCACCTGCCTCTGCCTCCCATGAGTGCTGGGATTAAAGGTGGGCTCCATCATGCCCAGCTTTTTGTTTGCTTGCATGCTTGTTTGAGATCAGATTTCTTGTCTTGCAGGCTATCTTGAACTCAATATGTAGGTGAAGCAGATCTTAAACTTATGATCCTCCTGCCTCAGCCTCCTGAGATCACAGGCAACTTTCGTAACACCCAGGAAACATATTGTTTATAAACTTCAGTATATTTCAGTATGGCATTCTTTCAAAAGCATTTCACTAATGTTAGAAGCATAACTAATTCACACCAAAGCTGCTACTAACTGATCATAGCCCTAAAGACTGGAATTCAGGGCTGGAGATAAAGCTTGGTGACAGGGTATTTGCCCAGCAGATGTGAGGCCCTAGGTTGTCTCCAACACCACAAAACAAGCAAAAATCACCTCCCCATTCTAAATGGGGACAACAAATGAACTACTGGGCTGCTGTTTTTGTTGCATTTTATAGGTGTTGTTAAGAGTGAGTTTGGCTGTGGAAGTATTCCCTTTCACAACCCATTCTGCCTGCAGCAGTGTGCATCTTGCATAGGATAGACAAGGTGCATGATTTGTCAGACATTTGGTGGTGGTGGTGGTGGTGGATTCATCTTCACTTCAGATCCAGAACTTGTCTTTGCACTTAACAGCTTTTCTCGTGCTCTTAATTTTGATTCCTTCAGGGATGGAAAATGATGACACGGCGGTCCAGTATGCGATTGGTCGCTCCGATACAGTTGCCCCTGGCACAGGGATTGACCTGGAGTTTGATGCAGATGTCCAGACAATGTCGCCCGAGGCGTCCGAGTATGAGACCTGCTATGTCACTTCCCACAAAGGCCCATGCCGAGTGGCCACCTACAGCAGAGATGGGCAGTTAATAGCCACAGGGTCTGCTGATGCTTCCATAAAGATACTGGACACAGAAAGAATGTTGGCCAAAAGTGCCATGCCAATTGAGGTACCATTCCCGCCTACCATTGCTCCAGGCAGCATGGCTGTGTGGTCACCAGCTCTGGCTTGCCCCCTGGGACTGTGGGCTTGGACCAGGTGCCTCTGTACCTTGAGCATCTGTCTCTCCTTTTCTTGTTGGTCCAGGTCATGATGAATGAGACTGCGCAACAGAACATGGAGAACCACCCAGTGATTCGAACTCTTTACGACCATGTGGATGAAGTCACATGTCTTGCTTTTCACCCTACAGAACAGATCCTGGCCTCAGGCTCAAGGGATTATACTCTAAAATTGTTTGATTATTCCAAACCGTCTGCAAAAAGAGCCTTCAAATACATTCAGGTTAGAGGTCAGAGGAGCCTTGACTTAGTTAGATACAGTCTTTTATGGTTATTTTCTTAGATTCGGGTGTTTTGTGACTGTTTTTCCAGGTGGTCTCAGTGATCACCCTATAAAGGACATGCCCTAGGTGGCACTTAGAACAGACTCCATTGGTGTGTAGGTCACAGCTGTCCTCTGCCCAGGTTCATGGTCACAGGTGTGAGGGTTCATAGTGCACATCACTCTCAGGACTCCTGATGAGCTGGGCGTGGTGGTCACACTATAATCCCAGCATTCAGCAGACTGGGAAGGAAGACCGTTGTTACAAGTTCAAACAACCAAAACAAGCAAAAGTCTGCCTTCCCTAAAAGTAAGTTACAGGTACTGACATTCTCAGTTGGAACTGTTGAATGTTTCAGAAGAACGATTGGTGGCCCGATGTTGGGTCTGTGTTACAGAAATGCTCATGTTTTCAGAAGCAGCTTCCATCATTCATTGGTTGGTTTTGCTTAGTATTTGCTGCCCTAGGGCAGATTAGAAAAGCGCTTTTTCATCTCTGGCTACGTGAGTGCAACTCTCTTAATCCGTTTGCAAGGATCCATCTGATCTCACCCCATGTCCGTTTGCAAGTGAAGCTCCTGTCTTGTTTTAGGAGTAAAATGACCAGTAAGTAACTTTAGGAAGAACCAGTTTCCTGCGTCCCAGGAAGTGCTTTTGTCCCCCTCCTGCTTCCTGCAGCTTGCTCGGTCAGGTGCTGGTAACTGACATCGTGCCTCTCTGTCCTCACAGGAAGCTGAAATGCTGCGCTCCATCTCTTTCCACCCTTCTGGAGACTTTATCCTGGTTGGGACTCAGCACCCTACGCTTCGCCTTTATGACATCAACACCTTCCAGTGTTTTGTCTCTTGCAATCCCCAAGACCAGCACACCGACGCTATCTGTTCCGTTAACTACAATCCTAGTGCCAACATGTACGTCACTGGCAGCAAGGACGGCTGCATCAAGCTCTGGGATGGCGTCTCCAATCGATGCATCACAACCTTTGAGAAAGCTCACGATGGCGCGGAAGTCTGTTCTGCCATTTTCTCCAAGAATTCCAAGTATATCCTCTCGAGTGGAAAAGACTCTGTAGCTAAGCTCTGGGAGATCTCCACGGGGAGGACGCTGGTGAGGTACACAGGTGCGTGAGAAGATGATGCTGGCATTTCTCGGGGATCAGATTCCTGCAGAATGAGATACACTGGAGAAAAGGGGAGGTTAGAGAAGGCTTTGGCCCATCCCTAGGCCAAGACAGGCAGCTCCGAAAGAGATCACCAGTGTCCATATATATGAAGTAGACCCAGCAGACAGGAAGTAAAGAAAGCCAACTCAGCTCCCCCATCAGTTCCTGTTAGTCTCTAGTTTGTAGTGGCTGTGCCCACGGGCTCCCTTTATGGTGAGTCTTGAATTTCCCAGCGCAGTACTTAGTTCACATGTGGGTACAGTGAGTGCTGTGTGCTGCTGCGCCTTATTGTGTTCCCCAGCAGCTAAGAGTGTTGTTTGACAGGAACCTCCTGGGAAGTTCCACTGCCTGCCTCTCTTGTGAGATGTGTGTGTCTCACTACACTGAACACACACACCACGGTTATAGCTTATTATAAAGGGGCTGTCTGAGTTAGCATCTTGGAGAGACATGGAAGAGCTGGTGACTTTCAGGCCACTAGGGTGCAGCACTGGTCCTCTCTGTGGCACAAGCTAATTGCCTAAAGCTAGTCATCATTATCCTTGGTAACTTTATGATACTTTATATGGTGTCGTTTTGGAAAATATCTCTTAACAGGTACTTCTTGAATGCAGAAGCGATCAGAGTGAACATGGAACTGCTCTGTTTACAAGTGACAGCCCTTGTTTTCCAGGGAATAATGCACTAGGACGGACATGCACCGGACTGCTGCCAGGAGCTTAGATGTTTGCGAACACCTGGGGTGTGGTTTATTGGCTTGATTTAGTAGAGAGTTGCAATTGTTTTTCCTGAAGGAATGTCCACATTGCTGATTTCCTAATTCCCAAGGCAGTACCCTGATAGTCAGCATGTCAGGGTTTCCATTTTGGTTTGAAGATTTACTTAGAACACAAAGTGGTTTTGAAGTAGTGATGGGAAGGGGGAAACTGAAGAGGACATTGGATGAGTTAAGTTCATC